GTGCACACATATTTTCAACGACATATACTTTAAGAAAGTGCAATAGAAAAAAATTGATTTTTTTTAAATTCCAGACAAGAATACCTCCTTAAGACGGGGTTGTAAGGAAGCAGCTTAAAATTGTGTACGTTTAAAATTTGGTAGCAGTAGGTTTATTAATTTGAAATTTTTATTCACTGTCGCGAGTAATTTCGATAAAATGTTCACCTGTATTTGGATTCGGCAATACCAAAAATCTCCAAATAACAAATTTGATCATAATACGTTCAAGAGAAAAATTCATGCGGTAAAGAATCCTGTACAGATATATAAATATATAGAGAATGCTCTAAGTGCTATTTGACAAAATTACAATCTTTGTATAGAGGGCAGAGAATACTTTTGATAGAAGTAGCGTGTTGTCGGTGATAGATAATAATTTCCTAGTAATCATATGTTTCCATAAAATCAATGTCACGGTCATCCCCGTGTGAGCCTCTTCGAGACTAATTAAAGTTGCATGTAGATACACGTGCCCCGTATCTACACTTTCCGAGGGGAGATCCTGGGGACGACGCCCACGCGAATCGTGGATACGTGCACGTGTTTCCGCATGCAACATTAATTCTTCCTGAAAAGGGCCTAACATTTTACGAAAACATATTTTTATTAAAATGAAAAAACTGTTTTAAAAAAAATTTCAAATTAAAGCGTACGGTTCCAGCGATCTTTCTTCGCCCTCCCGTGGTTAGCCTATTCACGGAGTCGACCGACTTCACCCCATCGGTTAATGGCTAAATCGTCGTATCTGCGGTCGCAATTAAGCTTTCAGCATCATCGGCGTGTCAGATACGAGTCTCGATCCTCCCTTCGAGTCCCCGCTGTTACGCAACAGCGCTCGAAATCACAGTAGGAAATACAGCCGCGAATTATTTCACCAATCATCACGATTCGCCCCTCCAATCCATCCAGGCCGCGTGCAGACCCGTCGCTGACACAAAATTGGAGGTTATATCGCAGTGGCGTATCGCTCGTTGGATCGAGTTATATTCCCGCGGCGGGTCGATCCCCGGGCGTACAGAAAGGGACCCCCATCGGCGTGTTCTGAATGATCCAATCTGTCCGCACAATAAATAATCACGCGTATCGGTACGGCCTACCTGCGCCCTCCGTAAGCCGAAAGCCGTAACAAACTAATCCGTCATCGGTACCGGACGACGGCCGCCCGTACAAATCGCTGAAGGGTTTTTCGACGGCCAGCAATCAGCAACGGCGGCCCCGGGAATCGATGGAGAGGTGAGAGGAACCGCCACGCGAAACGTTCGCGAATTCTGAACGCGCACCCGACGAAACGAGTCTGTTTAATCGTCCTTTGTCGCTCGTCGAGAGCCTGCAACTACGGTGGAATCGTTGTTTTCGTTCAAATACAAGATTCACGATTTTTTGGAGGTCAAAGACGCCGCACGAGACCAGTAAATTCGACTTGTGGGGTCCATCGCTTCCCGTGCTCGCCGCCAGAGGGACTGTTCCTCTCGCAAGCACTCAACCGACCTTCCGTCTGTATACAGGGTGTTCGACCGCTCCTGGAAAAAATTTTAATGGTAGATTCTAGAGGCCAAAATAAGACATAAATCAAGAATAGCAATTTGTTGATCGAGGTTTCGTTAAAAAGTTATTAATGTGTACCGCCTGTAGATAGGCAAACTGCATACAACTGCGTGCGCGCGATTGTGGTTCTCACTCAGCATGAGAAACTCTACTTACTTAACGTATCGATAGCTTTACAGTTTTCTAAGTGAGAACCACTAACAGCTGTTCGCAGATTGCTGTTCTACAGGCGGAATTTTAAATATTAGTAACTTTTTAACGAAGCCTCAATAACAAAATTTGTATTCTTGAGTTAAGTTTCATTTTGGCCTCTGGAATCTCCCATTGAAATTTTTCCCAGGAGTGGTCGAACACTCTGTATATATGATCCTCGACCGACCCCAAATATCCTGGCGTCTAAGGCAGGGTCTGCTAGGATGCCTTACTGACGAGTCCGCTAGCACACCTGGGACGAAACGCTTTTCGTATCCTTTCTTTATCATCTAATCCACAGGACCCCCAAAGACTCCTTTTCCAACGAGTGTTACGTACATAGTTCCAGCTTCTACTCCCAAGATTCCGCGACACGTGCTGCAACGCGTGCAACACCGGGACCCATTCACAAGGTGTTAATGTATACATTGTTTTCATCCAAATACAGGATTCACGTTTTTTTGGCGATCAAAGACGCTGAATGAGACCAGTAAATTCGACTCCTTTTCCAACGAGTATTACGTAGTTTCAGCTTCTGGTCCCAAGATTCCGCGACACGTGCTGCAACGCGTGCAACATCGGGACCGGTCCACAAGGTGTTAATGTATTCAAATGTATACGCGAACGGACGACATACATATGTCGCGATTTCCTAACTCGGTCGTCTGGTCGAGCATGCGAGCAGGTATCGCAGATACCTACGTTTCCTACCCGACAGAGAGGAGGGCGGAGGGGGGAGGGGGATAATAACAGCCGTGTAAATGCGTCACTAGGGCCCCGTTCGTTCGCATAATGCTATAATGCCTCTTTTTTTTTTTTATTTCGCTCGCCCGCTCACTCCCACAATGCAACGTCGGGTTCCCCTGTGCCCCGTGCCCCTCGCCGCTCACCCGCGCCGTCCCCCTCGCTGCTTCGGCGATTCCCACTTCCTGCCTGGCATCGGTGATGCGCAGTGCCACCTTAACAACAACGAAATTCCCCAGTGGTGCAACGGCCCCGTCGCTCGCGCTTTGTTATTCATCATTGCTTTTCTATCCTTCCTTTTTTTCTCGTCCAACGCGAGTTTCACGCATGCGGACCAGTGGGTCGACAAGATTTTCATAGTGAAAATGGGACCGGTCACGGCGTCGTTCACTTAACATACACGAGTGACGGGACTACTCGCTATGGAAAACAATTCTCAAGTTGAAACGTTAAAGGAAGTACATTTGAATAGAATTCGTAAAGCCAGATTACGAAAATAAGTACCAAGACAAATTTTAGGTTATGTAGTTTACTATTGTTTGAAATATGTTTTGGTCTGGCAGCGAACCGTGTTACTGTTAGCACATCTCTTCTGTCATCTTAATTTATATTTCAATTTTAATAGCGGCCATTGGCAATAATTTCCCATACAATGAGTATTTTCCTTGCAAAACTGACAACCTATCGTTCCGCAAACCTTACCAAACAGTAATAGACTTGGTTGTAAGAAGAAATAATAATTTCTAACAATTTTAATGGTGGTTATCAGTAATAATTTGTTATACAATGCGCCTTTTACCCGTAGAAGCGACAACCTACATTCGACAAAGCTTGCCAAACAGCAGTACACTTGGTCGGAAGAAGAAATAATAACTTCAAATAATTTTAATAGTGGCTATCAGTAATAATTTGTTATACAATGTGTATTTTCACTGTAGAAGTGACAACCCACGTTCGACAAACCTTGCCAAACTTAATCGTAAGAAGAAATATATTTAGAATTGGAAAGTCCAAAAGGGGGTAGTTGCCCAAGAAAATGAAGATGACCAGACACAAGTGTTTGGAAACGCTCGACCTATTATCGAACGATCCAATCTCATTGTCGTGTCTGAGCGCGTCAGTGTTTTTCTTTTTTAATTAGGGTCGCGAGAAGCATTTTGTTGCTAGCGACGATCACAATGGAGCACGTGCCCGTCGTTTGTTTGTCGGTCGAGGGAATCTTAATCGGAAACACGATTATCGCGATCGTTATTACGGCGTCCCCGCGTATCCGTGGCTCGCGACGCGGTATCGAGACGACGAAAAATGGCTGGAAATCGAAACACTGTTTTACACGGCGATCACGTAGCGCGCTACAACGGTGACACGGTGCTGTGACAGCCGGAATACGAGCGCGGCAAAGCGGTACACACGCGTACCCCGTCACCGTTCCTTTGTACTGGGACCATTTGTTATTTTGTACATATTCATAACGCCGTTACATCACCGCGTACCGATGCATTCTCTCCTGGCGTTTTCCTCTTCTCTCTTTTTTCCGTTTCTCGTTCCAGCCGCCGCGGACGACCGAGCCCCGTCGGTTACACCGTGCATCGATAGCTGCTGCTCAATCCGAATTCATAAAAAGGGATTCTGCACGCTTCCACAGCCGACCGTTCGACAGCTTTTCGATTTACAATTATTCGCTGAAAACTCGACATCCGCGTGTTTGCGATTCCCCTGTAACTCCATTTTTGTTCGGACAAAGTTTCGTTTAGTTGCTCTTTACCTTCCGACGGAAAACACAAGTTTCATTTAACGCGTTGGCTGATAGCCCAAACCCCTCGAATCGTCCACGAAAACGAAACATTGTTTCTATACTGTTCGATTATTAATAAATAATCATTGGCAAAACTGAATCTAACAATGAGAAACACTGTCCATTGTCTGCATACGAAGACCGTATTGGCACCATCAGGTCTAAGGGCCTGAGACTGTTTGCCAGCGAGGGCCAGGGAAATAAACATGGTGCAGGCAATGGTTTCTTTTTCTTTATGTGGACGCCGGATTTTCTTTTCGGGAATCTAACCGTCACCTCACTTCTCGTTTAGTTTTAACAGAGTAAAGACGTCCTTCCAAACCGTTAAATAAAGTTTCACTTATAAGTTATAAAAAAGTATTGTTTTCTTCACCCATTTCCAATATATGTATACGATTGGAAACTAGCGTACCCACAATTTGTCGTTGAACTTATTTTTACTGCTTCCTGTCTAGGTATTTATTTTCATTAGCAACTAATCTTGAGAATTAATTTTGTTTGACTCCTTAGTGAAAAATCACCCATACGTGTTAAGGAAACACTAGCTATGGAGCCTTGGGCGAATTGGTTCTCTGTTAACCCCTTGCCATACAATGACAAGTCTGACTCGTCACAAGTCCTTGATTGATGTAATAGTAGGATGCCTGCGTATGTGTGCAAGGAGTGTGCGTGTAAGAAGACGGGGCAGTCGACGAGGCTCCCCCTGCTGGGACGTGGCTGTAAGCCTTAGATATAAAGTGAAGTATTGTATCTTTATGTTGAATAAACTATCTTAAGCACAAACGAACATTACATGGTGTCAGAAGTGAAGAACATTAAATTAAATTAAAAAGAAGAATTGCGAGAAGGTCTCGTTAATCGTGGGAAAGGAAGTAAAGTGGTAACATAACCTAAAATATTCAAAGACCACGTGGTAACGATGGATAATTTTAAGCCTCCAGTGGGACTGGATTTGAAGGATAATGCAGCAAATAATTTAAAGAACTTCAAACAAAGGTTTGAAATATTTGTAACAGCTATTAGCGAGAAAGAAATAAAGGAAACTCGCAGAGTGGCAATGCTGTTGAATTGCATTGGAGAAGATGCGTTAGATGTGTTTAATACATTTGGACTGCTGGCAGAAAGTCTCACAACTAAATCCATATTTGAGAAGTTTGAAGAATATGTGAAGCCTAGAGTGAATATAATAATAGAGAGACATAAATTTCACACAAGGCGTCAACAGGTGAATGAACCATTCGACAGTTTCCTTACTGATCTGAGAAAACTGCGGACTAAACTGCCAATGGTGAAAAAGTTACTAAAACCAAAGATTCGTACTGTAATTCATGCGCTAAGAGATAAGCAGCGAGTAAAAAAAATGTATTATGATCGCGGTGCAAAAGAGAGAAAGGAGTTTAAGATAGGTGATACGGTAGTGGTAAGAAATAAGACTGAATGGGAACCGGCGGTGATAACGGAAATATGCAAAAAACCGAGATCGTACTTTTTAAGAAATAAAAGGGGCAATACAATTAGGCGTAATTCGTATCATATTAAAAAGTCTGTAAACAGCGCAAGTGATGTCACCGACATTAATATTGAAGACGAGATAACTCTGTGCGAGGAGAAAGACAAAAAAGATATAAGCGATAAAAATAATATTATTACTAGAAGCGGTAGAATTGTAAGAAGACCGGCGTACTTTAACATTACCTAATATTAAAGCTAAGGAAGGGAGGTGTAATAGTAGGATGCCTGCGTATGTGTGCAAGGAGTGTGCGTGTAAGAAGATGGGGCAGTCGACGAGGCTTCCCCTGCTGGGACGTGGCTGTAAGCCTTAGATATAAAGTGAAGTATTGTATCTTTATGTTGAATAAACTATCTTAAGCACAAACGAACATTACAATTGATGCCAAGTTTCACAAGCATGAGGCTACTCACTCGTCATCGAGTCTTATTAATTAAAATCAACACATTTTCACATTCACGAGGTATTCGTAAAACGAATCTATTCTTTTTCGTGGCCATTCATCGTACGAAAAAATTTAAATAAAATTGTAATTGGAATTAAATCGTACGTCAAGGGGTTAAACGACACCCTGTGTGCTTTCAATATTAAAAAAATATAATACTGAAATGTAAGAATTAGAACAAGTGAATTTTACTTGTCTAACACTTAAAAGACGAACGTGTTTTTAAGGTAAAAATGATTGAAAACGTCTCCAGACGTCGTAGGACCCAGATGACACAATGTTTACAAGTACAGACGACGCAGAGTAACGACGACACAGTGTTTTCAGGCACAAGGAAGTTTTCGACACGGACGAGAATCTTCGATCGACAACATTATTGAAACGGTTCAGGATAAACCGACCGAATATTGCTCCATCGAAAGGAAAGATAATTTTAACAGAGTCTAATTGCGAAACATCGGGGTCTTGAACGAAGTTCGAGAGGACGCGAGAATGGACGCGGTCCCGTTAGTCGTTTACGTAGCTTTATGATAAAATGTTAGATGCAGATCGGAGCGAACGTTGAGCCACATCTCTCGGCTAGGAGATCCTGCATTACGTGAGAAATCTTAGGGAACCGTTATTGTATATCCTACTGGCTGTCGTTCGCAAGACACAAAGGCCCTATTCATCCGCATGCAATCGCATGCATAGGAACCGATCCTGACTTCCAGCGTGCCTCGCATCGCTTCGCGCCATCCTCTTCGGGTACCTCCTTGCTCGCTCAACCTCGTTAGATCGCGGCAAAAGAATAATATCCGGCGTCAGGACTGCCGTTCCACAAAATGAGATCCCGATTAGGTATACCGAGCTTCCACAACTTTCTCCGAAACCTCCCGTTCTACAGGATGTTGAAGAAACTTGGGACCAATCTCTCCCGGGGACGTCGAAAATTCTTCAGACCACCGTTGTTATACAAGTTTTTAACATGTATGATTACTACCGCTGGTGTTCGTACACTATAATAGTGATTTACTTCGCTAAATGGAAAAGAAACTTGTTTAAATATATAATTTTTCTTTCTTCGTACATTGAGATAATCGAGGGCTAAGTTTAAATAAATTAGAAATATGATTTGTCGATCTTGCCACGTTGGACACCGATTCTCGTCTGATTACCAGCGTTAAACTATGTTGGCTGTGATCAGTACTAACAATAAAATGAATGACTGCTTTTTTAAAATAAAAATTAAAATAAAATCAACTGAAATCAATTCAAATGATCTAAACTTAAATTACAGCAAAATGAATTAAACAAGACAGGACAAGACGAAACTACTTCGTAAATGTACACAGTTGTAATAAACAAACATTTGGTAAAAACAAATGGAAAGAATTTATGAGAAATTCATTTCTTTTTTTTCACATCTTTATGATACTGACTAATTGTTTCGACGTTGAATTCTGCGGAGCCGCTGAAAATATCGAAGGATTTATCGTTGAGCTGCGGTGGCCGCGACCAGTACTAGGATGGGTAACCACTTTGGAAACTATATCCTTGACATGTTATCATTATTGTACATTGTTTATATTATACCTCTCTAGACATTTCTGTGCCCATTAATATTAAAAAAAATAAATAATAAAAACTACTTTGTAAATCGAAGTAAAATTACAGTATATGTATATGCTTTCGACTGTATTGAAATTGACCTCTGAAAAAATATTCCCATATAACAACCCGTGATGCAACGTCGTTATTGGACACTTATTAAATTAAACCCTAATTATCTGTCACGTAATAATTAATCCTATCTGTTATTCTGTTTAAAATTCGGTATTCCTTTCCCAGGGTTAACCGGTAAAAAGTTTCAAAGAAAAAGAGAGCTTGGTAAGAGAATCGAACGTAGTTACAATGTTGCGAGCGGCTAAATAGCTGTCACCAGAAAAGAGAAACTTCACCGAGGAGGAGGTAATGGGTTAGGAAATCGAGGAGCCCGTGGTCAACGACTTGAGCCCCTCTGTTTCGGGTGGTCTGTCATTGGCATAATCAACGATGAAACGACGGAGGCGAGCGGTCCCGGGTCGATTCCCATGTCCGTATACGCGAGTTTCCACGGGCTGCTCTCTCGGAATAAGTCCTCGTTTGTAGGTGGATACCTTCGTCACGGTGAGCGGTTCGCACCATGGTTTACCGGACAATCGTGGTGGACGCGCTCGAGGACGATGAGCGGAGACAGGACAGGCGAGCGAGAAAGAAACGTTCGGGCAAGAAAGAGGGGAAGAAGAACCGAAGAGGGACAAGGAGCCAGCGAGAACGAAACGAAGAGAGAAGGGACCTTCTTCTTGGTAGCGAGCCGCGGAGGAAGAAAACGGTGGAGACCACCAGGAACAGAGAGGCAAGGGGCAAGGAGAATGTCGTGCTGTGCTCATCGAGGTGTAGATCCTCGTCCCCTGGGTCGTTCCTACGCCGTGGTCAGCGTCCCACTAAGCCACGGTCACGTTTACATTCGCGTTCTGACTACGTTTAAATTGCAGTTGCGCGTAGAAAAATGAGCCTCGGTTGCTGCTCGTTCGTCCTCGCCGCTACGTTCGCCATGCGTTCCTTCGACAAAAATATCCTCTTCATCCTTCTTCCTACACCCAACCCGTCTCTCTTCTTCGACAACTTTGGGCGAAACTTTGCTCTCCAAAATGGTCCATATCAAACTTAGCGATAGACAAGATCAGGTGACACGATCGATCATTAATAGCGGTCATGGATGAGAGGATTTTACACAGAATTATTTGTGCAACTATCATGAGTTATTAATTCCACGAGTGCCTTGGAAGTAGAATAGAATCTCGAAAATCTTTGTAATAATCCAAGTTTTCTTGTATCCCTAACGCAGATGGCAAGAAGCAAGGCTATGACATTCGATACTTCAGAGCGTAACAAAAGGAACTTTTCTTTCAACTTATCACTGTACACAGCCTTTTTCCTTTTCACTTTCTCGGTAGATTGGTGCACAAACGAGAGCACTGTTCAACATCATACTGCAGCGAAAGGCGTCGGACAACTGGCAATCGCTAGTTCGATTCTCATTCGGTTGAGAAGACGTCGTGTAAAGTTCTTGCGACACGACGATCGCCTGCAAATTCGAATACTCTTTTTTGAAACTGTTCATATTGTTTCTTAGGGGAAAAGTTCCATGTTGTTTTAATTGAAATTTGACGCAAGTTCTGGAAAAGATTGATATTGGAAGGCGAATAGATCCCTAAGACAAGGCGAACAAAATAAATGCATAGTAAGCGAAGTCAATTTAGCTCTACCGACGGGTCAAACGCGAGAAGATAAATCTACCGTCTCCGCTGGGAACGTGTTAATGCAACTAGTCTTCTCGAGAATTTTACTCTCGATAATCGCTATCGACATTAAAAGCTCTTTGACACAGGCACGCAGCAAAGTCTGCACGCTGACAGTTGCATGGGCACTCATGTTCCCTGCTCCCGTATACACGAGTGAAAGGACTCTTTCTCTCGATGCTGCGTAGAGAGTTTTCTCATCGATAATTAGTCTCGGGGGAAGAGGATTCTCCAATTGCAAAACTTTTAGAAAAATCGAAAAGAGTCGCGTCATTGCGAGAAATCCGGAAAATGAAAGGAAAACTGCTGCGAAGAGAAAAGGGTAAATACTCTCTCTGGCCGTGAAAAATCGGCACCATTACTGGCATTCTCGCAAGTGTAAGAACGATTCGGAGAATCTTGAAAGGATCATTAACGCGGATCACATGTGGATGAATAAGAAACCCGTTTTGGCAGAACATCATGGACCACTCGGGACTTTGTATCCACACGAGCTTGGACGTTAGAGTGTGGAAGCGTTTCTGGCGTTAGGAAGTCCAGTAAAAAAGCTTCCCCTTTGACAAGATCATCCACCATACTGCGTGTCAAACCCAAATACAATTTCGAATAATAATCTTGCTGATGTATTAAAACTTGAGACGTACCTTCGCTTAAATAATAAAATTTATTTTTAAAATACTGGTAATCGTAAGTAACTCGAATATTTCGAACATATAGTTAGAAATATGTATTTTATGGAACGTCACAGTCAGGGTTTCCCCCGTGTAAGTGAAACGTGTACCTTCAAAGTCTTCGAATTTAGCCAGAGGACTTTGAGGCGGTCTCAGCGTTGGACGCCGCGAGTAACGCGATCAGCGGCGTCTCCGTCGGCGTCTAGACTTTAGAGGGACGCCGGTGGATGGATTAAGATGTAAATGACACGTTGTAATGCGCCGGGCAGGCCGCGATAGGTCGACCGGTCGGTTGGTCTCCCTTTATTTCTCGTTCGTGGAAACAGTAAACGCCATTTGAAGCGCGCTCACGGTGCGCGCACCGATGGGCTGCCAGAGCGTTTCTGGACTTTTACGGAAATCGGGAACCTGGGAGTAACGTGCCGCCCATGTACAGTGCTCGGCGTATGGTGGCGAATGACCTAGCCCCATCCATATGCGTATCAGGCTGCCCCGGAGCACCCCGCTTTCGAGCTCGCGCGTCTCCCGTTTCTGGACACGTTCGACGGCGAACCAAAGCGGAAAAAAGAAAGCAGATTGAGATATCGGTGCAGTGACTGATAAACGAGCCGGCTCGAACCGTTTTCTTTTATCAAGAACACGGCCGTTACGTGCTGGGAGCCCGGAGAAATTGAAACGCCTGGAATCGTTTCTTTTCCCTCGAACGCGAGTCGATAGCCTTTTTTCGAAAATCTGCAGACGATTATCGTCACCGAAAAAAGGAACTTGGGATGGAAACGATTCTGGTACTATAAGTAAAAAAACTATGAACAGGAGTAATCAGAGGCCTCGCAATGATTGACCAAAATGTCTGATCCAGCACGTATCAGTGGATACAATGTACTGTAAGGATGTCAGGGATGTTCACAAGCATATGA